TATTAGAGCAGGTGAATCTCTGGAGAGTTCCCCAACTGTTTACTTCTGGGGCAGCTGGACCTTTCTGTGGTTGAACCTTTAACAGGGAGCCCGAGGCACTAGGAGTGGGTGAAAGGCTGACAGACAGTGGTGATGCGGCCTCTTCTTTGATCACAAACAGTCCAGGTTTTCCAAAGCTGGTCAGAGGCCCAGCCCAGGGAAGTCCCTGGCAAGGAGCGGCAAGGAACGAAGGCCAAGTCACGGTCACAGTGGCTCCTGGGCTAGAGAAGAATGGAGGGAGAAGCAGGAGGGGTCCTGGAAGGGGAAGCAGGAGAAGACCTGGGGCGAGGCTGGAGGAAGATTGATCTCAGGCCCTGTGAGGGCTTCCCAGGGTTAGGAGACGCTCTGGTTCCCGTGGGCCTGCCTCCCTCAGGGGCTGGACTGGGCTGGGCCTGGCTGACCTCTTCCTACTTCCAGGAGGATGACAAGGGGTGAGCTTGGATCCAAACCCAGATCTGGCTTGACACCCTGACCTGGAGACAGAAAGCCTGAGGGAGAGGAGTTGGAGAAGCGGAAGCCTGGGGCTCCTAGGAACTGTGGGAGGGGCCTGGTTAGGCCACGTAGGCTACAAGGCCTGGAATTTCCCCCAGTGTCACTATGTCCTTTCCTCTCCTCCAATGGTGCCCTAGAAACCCTAGAGTAACAGGTCCAGGGATGCAAGGGAAACAGTTGGGATGGAGAAAGAGGACAACAGGAAAGACCCTGGAGAAAAAAATCAGGAGAAATGCCTTCTAGGCCTGGCACTTCTGAGAACACACTTTGTGACGTCTAGGGCAAGTTTCTCCACGGCTCTAGGCACTGGAGTCCTCACTGGAAAAAGGAGAGACATCCCTGCCCACCCTATAGAGCTGATGGCCATAATTATCTTTGCTGCCTTTCACTGATGGTACTTTGTTCACTTCGCCCTGTGCATTGGGCGCTGTTCTAACCTTATGGATAAGGAAACAGGCAGAAAGCAATCACGAGGGGTAAGTGGCAGGGCTGTGATCAGCCCAGGTCTGCCTGACTTCAGAGTCCACTCTCTAACCCTTGCAGGATTTGTCACTTGGAGGAGAGGCAATGGTGGATATGATATAGTTTAGTTCACCTTAGGGTACTGAACGAATGCAAGTTTAAGGCTATCTTCCCGCCGTTGTATCTATGCCCTCATGCAGTTATCTGAGAGGTAGGTAGAGAGAATTAAAAATGCCTTCTAGGGCTGAGGGTGGGAAGCAGAGACTCTAGACTCTGCTCGCTTATTTATTTCTTACCTAAAAAAAAAAAAAAAAATGCAATTACCCAGCACAACTTCAGTCAACATCATGTGCTCGACATGCATTTCTCATTTAACTATCACTAGAATCTTTCTCGTATACACACACACCCAATACCAAAAAGCACCTAGAATCCACAGCGGGGCTTTACGGTCCTGAGACCGCCTCGGGCTGTGGAGACAGAGACTGGGACCCAGACCCAGAATTGCTCTTTTCCTTGTTCATTAACTGCTCACCCTGAGTTTCACTGATAAATCCCCAGCCAAGGCCCCAACTCACTAATTCACATACTGGAGTGACACATGTACTCGTTTGCTTTAGAAGCTCGGCTTTCCATTGGTGGGACAGGTGGAGCTAGCACTGCTCTGGAAGCAGGACACTCGGGTTCTAGTCCCAAGCGCTAATGGTAACGTCTCTGTAAGACCTCCAGGGTACCCCTGTCCCCCTCTGGCCCTTCATTCCCACAGGACAAAGGCTGCATTTGATCCTTCTTAACATCCCTTGCTAGCTGGCAGGACTACATAGTACAATGTTTAAGAGCGTTGAGAGTTTAAGAGCCTGGATCTTTCTGCTCCCGTTACCTGTTGTTGTATGAGACCTTTGCAAGTTAGATAACACCTCCAAGCCCTAGTTTCATGTGTGAAATGGGAATGATAATGGTCTTGACCTCAGAGGGTGGATGGGAGATATATTATGTAAAAATGTAGGCCTAGCACACAGCTAATACTCCACAAATGTTACCTTTTAACAGTTTTTAATATGCAGCCTCCACTTCTCTTTAGGCACTTGATTTAGAGCTCAGTTATAGGTGTTTTGGGGGGTATGTTTTTTATTTCCCTAAAATGTGAATTTAGGTCTGACTTCGGAGCAGCCTTGGTGGAGGTGGCAGAGGGGGAGAGAATGGCAGAAAGGAGAGTGGGAAGCTGCATATGTTCAAACAAAACAATAAAACAAAACACAGGCCTTTTGATTCTCCTCGCAGGTGGGGCTTTGTGCAGGTGGTTGTTGTCACTCTGGAAGAACAAGAGGTTCCCAGCTGCCTGAGTCACTTACCTCCCAGCATCAGGCCCAGTTTCCTGGCTTGGAAATCACCTTCTATATCTGGGGGGAACAGGGGGTACAGGCTACAGGGCCTGTTGTTTCCCACCCTGCCAGGCCCCCAGAGTATAGGGTCTCATAGTGGATGTGGATGGTGGGATGGAACCCGGAAGACTGTATTCCTGGGTTTAACTGTGAAGTTCTACCCAGTACATGAATCTACATCCATTGTTTTTCAAATGCCTTCTGTGTGCCAAGCTTTGGGCTTTATTCGCATTATCTCATTTATCCTCATGATCACCTCAGGGGTAGGTACAATTACTATCTCCATATTTCAGAGAAGTGCTGAGGCTTAGAGAGGCCACCCAAGTAGGAAGTGGTTGAGAAGGGGCTAGAACCCCATTAGTTAGATCCATAGCTTGTGTTCATAACGAGTATTGCTGAATTTTTGTAAGAAAGTAAGAAAAAGGGGGTGGCTCCATAGTGTGGTTAGCACGTTTGCTTTACACGCAGAAGATCCTGGTTTCGCACCCCAGGTAAAGCCACGGACCATACCCCAGGTGCGCCAGGCTCCCCCCAAGTGCAGCCCCGAGCGTGTGGGAGGAGCCGCCTCGTTTTCAGAAATCCAGTTCTTGAGGGGAAACCACAACATCTATAGGTCAGAGGTGGAATTGGGCAGGGGGAGGGAGGGGTGGATTAAAGAGAGGAAAAAAAGAAAGCAAGCAAGAAAAATCATGACATTGTAAAGACAATATGGTGCAGTGGAAAGAGCACATATGTCTGGGAGCCAAGGTCCTGGGTTCCAGCCCTGGTTGCCTCACTCAATGTCTGTGGCCTTGAACAAGTCCTTTACTACACTGAGGCCTCAGTTTACCTACCTGTCAAATAAGGGATTGCGATCAATGGTCTCTAACATGGTGGATGTTCTGAAGTCAAATTAAGACTTAAAAGGATGAGAGGGGTGGGTGTGGTTATGACTTTGAAGAGATGAATTGTAATTGTTAAGAAAAATTACCCAAAAATAGCAATATCAGGCAAAAAAATGACTGTGATCTTTTTATGTCATACTAGAGCATTGTCCAAAAAGCCCACACAGGAGTTCATCTGGGAATGAAACTATTTGCCTAAGTCTCTAAGATCAGACAATTTATAAAAATAGCTGAAATAGACTGGAAACAAAATGCAAATAGTTGGAAACCCTTCATTTTTTTTAAAGTAAATTTCAGTGTTCATGAGAAGATTTGGGTTGGGATTAGGAATAAAGCAATCTAGGAAGAGGCAGTCTGGGAGGTACAAAGAGCAGGAAGAAAGCCGGTTTGGGGAGGGGAGGCAGTAGATAGAGGTGATGCTGGGGAGAGTCGACACAAAGATTCTTATCTCTCTGTGCCCTCACCTGTTGGTGACACTCAGTGGAGTTTTGGTGTTTGCATCCCTCATTCCTTCTCTCTCTTCAAAATCAGGGTAGATATATACTTATTTTCATAATTAAAATGAACTAGAATTAATATTGTTTTGAGAATTTGGGAACACCTTTGAAGTACTTGAAAGCATCCCAGGATGTCACAAAGCCTGAAAGAATTCTTGTATTAAGCATATACTTGGGTAGGGTATGTGTGTGTGTGTGTGTGTGTGTGTGTACGTTCCTGTGCGCGTGTATTCATACAGTCACAGTTGATTGACAGATCTTTTTGTAAAATGAGGGCCTGTGTGAAATAGTTCCCCAAATCCTTTGAGAATGAAGACTTGTCAATGACTGTTTTCAACAGTGTCAGTGAAATGAGTTTTTTGTGATAGGTTTTTCACAAAGATATATTTACTCAATTTAAAGAGCTGTCCTTTTTTCCAAGATCAGGCCCTTCTACTTTCTGAAATTAAAACTTACCCTCTTTTAAATAAAATGATCTTAAAAATAAGTGTTCCCAGCTTAAACTAAGTTACTGTTCCATATGGATCTGGGAAATCCCACAGCTTATTTGAATGATCTGACCCACATAAAGTATACCAGGTAGGCAGGGCAGGAGGCCGGCTCTGGATTTGCCCACCTGGCTTTGAATCTTGGTTCAGTCGCTTACTGAATTATCTAACCTCTCTGTGCTTCATATATTTATTTATGGCTAAAAAAAAGGGGGGGTGGGGGATAAAACCCATCTCAGGAGGGTGGCTGCGTAAATTAAAGTAAAGCATGCAAAGTGTTTACAGCGTCTGGAGCAGTAAATGTTAGCAATAACAGTAAGATTCCTGAGGGGTCCATGCAGCTCGCAATTTCTATGAGCTCTGCTAAGAAGTCCGGGAGCAACCGGACCGAACTCTGGGGCCCTGAGCACTAGCTCTGCGTTAGTTCCAAATGACTACGTGCCTTTTGGCAAGTTCCTTCCCTGCTCTGGCCTGGGTGACCCTCCGCACCAAGAAGGAGTGGTCACTGCGGCTCGTTCTCGCTCTGAAGTTCCGGTTTTCAGGGTGGCCGCAGCCTCATTCCGGCACCCGGGGCTTCCGGGGCACTGAATGCCGTGAGGAGCTGCCCGGACCCAGGACGCGATACCCGCGTCCACTAGGCCAGCTCTCCGGCTGTTTACCTCGCTCGGTCCCGCCCCGGCGGCAGCGGGCACGCCCAGAGAACGCGGCGCGATTGGACGAGCGACCTGTCAATCGTCCGGGACTTTCCCAGGGGTTGGGCAGCCCGGCCCCCAGCACTTCCTCGTCCCGACCCAGTCCCGGGAGCCGGTAGAGTGCTGCGGAGCCAGAGCCTGGCCTGGGCCGCTAGCTCGTCCCCGGTCTCAAGGCTGGACGCAGAGAGTGGGGAGCTGTGCCCCCAGGGCCCCACCCTCGGGTAAGCCGGCCAGGCCGAAGCGGGGATGGAGCGGGAGGAAGGGAGTCCTGGACCGGGCCGTTCAGAGCTTCGGCAGTGACTGGGCGTGGGGTGGGAGGTCAGGACCGGCCAGGTGGCCTGGGTTCTCGGGCTCTTGGGCTCCCGCGCGCGATGTCGCAGGGCGCGGGGCACCTGCCGGGGTGGCTGGGGTCGGACTGCGTGGGGAATCCCTGCCCGGAGCGGAGGGTGGTTGCGCGTGCGCACTGCGCGGGTGAGCGCGTCTGGAACCCGTGCTGGCGGCTGGGTGCGGGGCATGTAGGCGGTGTGCACCAGCCAGGTGGGGAGGAGTGTGCGGGCGTGTGGGTCTGTTTACAGTGTGGGAGACCAGTTTTGGAAGCAGTGTGCACTTGTAATGAAGAGGAAAATAATTTATTGGGAGCTTTCCAAGCGCTGATTTTAACCCTCTTTACATGTGTTAAACTCATTTAATATGTCACATCCATCCTCGAAATGAGTAGTATTATCTTTCCCATTTTGCAGTTTAGGAAACTGAGGCTGGGGTCACACAGCTAAGGAGTTGCAAAGTCAGGATTCGAAAGCTGGCATTTGGCTTCAGAGTTCTTGTTCCACTTTCTGTTGAGTGTGTGTGTGTGTGTGTGTGTGTATTTATATATATACATATATGTGTGTATGTGTGTGTGTGTGTGTGTGTGTGTATATATATATATGCAGCATTGGAGACATTTGTGTGCATGTGCAGGGTAGCTGTAGTGAATTTCTGGGAGTGATTTTGGGTGTAGAGTTTCTACTTATGGATGACTTTTCCATTGTAGAACATTTGTGTACGTGTATGTGTGATGTGTATGGAAGCTATGGCATTATACATCCATTAATTGTGTGTATGGAAGTGGGTGAGAGTTTTTGAGCTACATACTGGGTGAGAGATTGCGTTTTGGTTGAGGGGCGGGACTTTTGTGGATGATGCAGAAGAATCAAAAACATCCATCTCCACCTCCTTGCAGAATGACAGTGCAGCGAAATCTGTGGATTCCTAATGCATCATTTTTATTTCACAGTATAGTCAAAATGGAATTTAAGCAGCGCTTACTCACTTTCTAAACAGTGGGGTATGGTAGAGGGGAATTCAGCATCTGAAGAGAGGTCAGGAAAGGGGACTCTCAAATTTTTTTTTTATTCCTTGTAATGGATATTGCATTAAGAGGCTAGAATATTTTTTAGTACAAACTCATGGCAATCCCGCGATATTGTATTAATATCTCTATTTTATAGCAGCGAACCGAGGGCAGTGAAAAAACGAGTGATGGTAATAATAACAGCTTACATTTACGAGCACCTACCATGTGCCAGGCACAGTGCTTTACATTCAGTATGTCATTTAATCTTTTTAACAACCTGAGGAGGTCATCACTGTTAGTAGTCTTAATATTCAGTGAGGAAGCTGAGGCCCCAAAAGGTTGACTTGCCCAAGACTAGTAATTCTTTTTTCTTTTTTTTAGGCAAGCTTACAACCTCACAGATTGCAAGGACCTTGTCACCTTACAATCCCTTCTTTTTTAATATATTTTTTACACCTACAGCACCTGGTCTTCCATCCAAGTACTAACCAGGTCTGATCCCGCTTAGCTTCCAAGATCAGATGGGATCGGGCTTGTTCAGGGTAGCATGGCTGTAGACAAGACTAGTAATTCTTGAACCCTAGGCCATGTTCCCTTTTCACTGACCAAGGCTTCTGTCCTGGCTGTGTCCTGGGAAAATAATGTGATCAAGGACTGGCGCTTCATGGAAGCACTTGATCATGTCCCTCTGGAAGCTGTAGCCATGAGTGTCCTGTGTTCTACGTACTTTTGTGACCTTGTTTTCCCCCACCCATAGCTGTCCCATGGATATGGTGTGGCACTCATGCTGAGGGTTGGTGCCTGCCCTTATGCCCATACCAGGTCCTTTGGGGCCCCAGGAAGCTGTGGGGTCTGACTCATACCCTTACCCCTAGTGCTGCTTATGACTTGGGCCCGGATGTCCTGGGTTGGGTCGGGACAACCTGATTTGAGTACCTCAGAATCGTAAGAGGTCTTCTGTCTGCCTCCTTCTCTGGGCACTACTGGATCCTACCTTACCCCATACACTCATTGCGGTTTAGCCATGGCATCTACTTTTTCCCCCTCTGACATGCCAAGTTTGTACTGTTCCTTCTGCTCCTCCGACATGCAAGTATGTGCTGTTCGTTCTGCCTAGAACACCTTTCCCCATCTCTTTCCATGGCTGGTTCTTCCTTCTCTGTCAAGTCTCAGCTCAAATGTCACCTCTTTGGAGGGGCCTTCCCTGACCTTTCTATGCAAAGTAGCCCCTTTTTTCACTTTCTATCATAATACTATTATATTTTTTTCACATATTTATCATGCTCCGAAATCTTGTTTATTTGTGAATGAGAAAGTATACGCGTAGAACTTAGTGTCTGGCCTATAGTAATTTCAGTGTTTACTATGTTGTCTTTCTCTTTTCCTAGAATAGAAGGATGAGAGCAGGGACTTCTTTAGTTTCACGTGTGTATCCCTGACCCCCGGATAAGAGTGTCTGGGGTAAGGCTGTCCTGGCTTTGTTCATGGATGAGTAGAATTGAAGAAAGTAGAAAAATGGTACATTTCACAGATGAGGAAACTGAGGCACTTGTCTCAGAGCGCTACTGGCAGAGTCATGATGAGAACCAGAACTTGCTCCCCTAGGCATTTTTTTCCCCCTTCTGATAGTATGTAAACGTTTCTTGTGCTCCGTGCTGTGCAGAGTGGCTTGATGCTCTGGGGCATAAGGAAGTGGCTCTGCCCTCTAGGAACTTGTAGTGGGATGGGGAGAAGTTTGCTGTGAGCGCTGTCTGGAAGCCATTGTGTGCCAGCAAGTGCCTGGCAGTAAATCTAACTGGAGTGCGGAGCAGTTTGGGGGTGCTAGGTGGGCAGGGAGCTTCTGGAGGGAGGCAACTTTAATGCCAAGCCCTAGAAAGATGATGTGGTGCAGAGCAGGGCCTAGGTCCCTTCTGGAACTTAGGAGACTGGGTAGACTGGGCAGCAGATTTGGTATAAGGCTCTGCTAGGTTGGGGGAGCTGACCAGCTGGGCTAGGAAAAACCCTAAGATCTTGACTGCCAGGTAAAGAAGTGTCAGTTTTTCCATGCTGCCAGCATTGGGAAGTGGTTAGAGTAGTTGGTTGGCAAACTTAGCGTGCATCAGAATCACCTGTGTGGCTTGTTAGATCTCTGGGCTGTGCTCCCAGAGTCTGATCCAATAGGTACTGGTGATGTTGCTGCAGCTGGTCTGGGCCACTCTCTGAGAACCCCTGGTGTGGAGCGCACCTGCGCTGGTACTGCCTCTGCTTCCTCATCTGTGAGATTCTGCATGTCAGTGCTACCTTCTAGACAGGTGCCAACTAATGAGACAGTGCGTGTTAAGCACTCAGTGCAGGGCTAATGCCAAGTAAAGCCAATAGTAAATGCCCGCTGCTGACCTTTTTAACAGTGATAATCATGAGGATGGTCCATTTTTTCCATGCTTTGGGGAAACTTGCCTTTGACTCTCTGACACCTATGAGCCATGCTGTGTCCTCTCTGGCTAGGTCATCCTTGCTTTGTTTCAGAAGTCTTTTCATCCATTTGAAATAGTGGAAGCTTAGTGCAAGAGGCACAGAGGACATCTGGCCCAACTTCCCTCAGTCGCATTCAGCACCCCAGCAGGTGATCATCCAACCTCAACTTGACCCCCAGCCCAGAGTGAGGGAGCCTCTGCAGCCTCTCCCAGTGTTGTTACAGATGCTCGCTTTTGCATGCTCCCCTCCGTGCTCACCTGACCACTTTGAAGGAGGGAGAAAAGAAGAGAGGGAAGGCAGTAGCATGGTGTAAAGAGGGCGCAGCTGGCCAGAGACCAACATTCTGCTTTCCTGTGTCACTACTCTCCACGCAGCCTTGGGCAGGTCTCTTCCCTTTGCTGGCTTTGGTGTCCCAGCTGCATAATGAAGGGATTACACTGGCTGGTGTCTTAGGCTATCCTCTTCCAGCTCTAAAAACTCTGTAGCCCAGTGATTGGGCCACCCTCTGGCTTCCTTGGTTTCTGAGCTCTTCCTTCTGAGCCAGGCCTTTCTGTGCCTGCTTCTCGCTGTTGCGCTGCCACTGCTGCCTGCCCATGTGCCTGCCCCTCCATTCTCTGTTCCTCTAAGAAGGGAAGGTATCTGGGGCTGTCTGCAGAGAAGCAGGGAGAAGCTCCCCAGCTCCTAGAGACAGACCTGGGCAGCCATCACCACGTTCAGCTGCAGGAAGTTCTTGATGTTTTTCCCCATGACTGGCCCAGGACAGTCAGTCACTCGTCCGATAGGAACCGATGACTGGCCTGAGGAGCAGCCGGCTCTTTGTCTGAGGGCCTTCCTCCTTGGAAAGAGAAGAGTTTCCTTCTCTTCCCAAAGACCTCACCCTGAGGCTGTTCCCTGTATCCTTGAGCACCTATGCGGTGGACAAACCGGGTAGCCCAGGCAGATGTATGTGTGGTGGGGGAAAGGGTAGGGGGAAGGGTGCTGTGGGAGTCGAGTCATCAAGGAGTCATACTCAGAGGCCAGAGCTGGTATTTTTAGGTTGGATGTTGGGGGTGTCCCATGAGTCAGGGGTTTGGTCTCCACCCACACTAGAGAGCACTTGCTCCACTCTGCTAGCCGGCAGACTGTCCTCTGCCTTCGTCATGGCCCGTTTCATCAGAGGTCTGAGGAACTGTGGTCCCTCCACAGCCTCACTTCTGCCTCTGCAAATGCTACTACCCCCCACTCATGCCAGCCCCTGACTTTGAGAAAATACAAAGGGATCGTTCAGACATAGAGGGTAACATGCAGATACCTGGGACCCACCTATCTGGCTTAAGAAATACTATAACACATATTCTGTGCACCTGAAATGTCTCCCTGATCATCCCCTTCCCCTCCCCTCTAGAAGTTACAAGGCTTCTGAATTTAGAGTTTATTCTCTTGCATTCCTCTATAATTTTATTATAAATATATGCCTCCCCAAACAGTACGTAGTATTGTTTTGTGTATTTTAAAATGTTACCTAAGTGCTGTCAGACTTGACTCTTTTGCAGACTGCTTGTTTTGCTTAATATATTTGTGAGATTCATACATGTTTATATATCTAGCTCTGGGTCACTAAAGTTTCATTCATTTTTTTTATGGCTGTGTAGTATTCCCTGGTAGGAAACAGCCCCAGGATATTTACTCATTTTCTTCTTCATTAGGTAATTTCCAGCTTTTGCTGTTAAAACAAGACACTTTGGCTTTTAGCTGAGTATTGTCACCACCGTATAACTGTCCCCTTCCTAGCCCTTATGGCTCCTGATGGGGTCGCACTTTATAAAATCTGCAGAGAGCTCTATGGTTTCTAGTTGGTTCTCACATCATTTCATAGGGAGAAACAAGGCACGTGAGGTCTGCTTAGGGTTACCTGGTAAGGGAGCAGAGCCGGGATTTGAACCTGTTAAACCCTCTTTCCGTCATATTTAATATGAGAGAATTCACAGAAGTCGTCGTCTTCCCTCTTGAAGGGGGAGTTACAGGGCTGGAGAATCACCTTTGTGAGATAAACCAGCTTTGGACATATTGGGGACTGGGAGGCAGAGGACAGTCAGTCAAGTCCCCCATCTCTTTTGTCCCAAGGTTGGGCCTAGTTCCCTTTGTCCCTGTAGCTAATAGTTGTGCTCCTCCTGGGCTGGGCAAGGTCCCCGCTGCCAGGAGGGAAGCCGGGCTTCTGGTCATGGAGCGTGCGCACCGTGGGTCCCGGGAGCTGCGAGGAGGTGTGCCTGACGGGAGAAGGGAAGGGGCTGGAGTCGCTTGGGCTGCCTTCCCAGCCCTCCTTACATGGCTGTTGGCCTGGGGAGTGCAGGGCGGGGACCAGGGCTGTGACGATCAGGTGTAGGTTCTGCTTTGTCCCTTGGGAACTGTGTGGCCCTGAGCCAAGCTCTGCACCTGTCTGGACCCAGCTTCCTCTCCAGCAGAGCAGCTGTGAGGCCCGGTGTGAGGACCCACGGTCATGGGGGGAGCTTCGCACTTGTCCCCAGCCGAGCATAGTTATTGACAGTCTGGCCCTTACCACCTTTGTCACCTCAGGGCCAGCCCTGACCTTCCAGAAGCCAGATCCTTTCTGGCAGGTTCCAGGTGGAGACTGTCTATAGTTGCCAGCTCTCCATCCACCAAATTCGTTGATTAGAAAATTTGTCCTTGGACTTCGGCTCCTTATCTGTGATCGCATCACTATAGCCTTGTCTGTCCTCGTGAAGCAGATACATAGTAAGGAGGCTCTCACCCCTGCCAACAGCCCTCCAGCCTCTTTCAGAGCCAGAACAATAGGCCTTCCCTATTGTTCTGACCTTGTCAAACCCCTTAAATTAAAAAAAAAAATTATTACAAAATCTCCCTTTAAAATGTTACAAAATGACATGTGCTCATTGGAGGGAAAAATAACTCCAAAACTCAAGCAACAAACACAAAAGGCATAAAGCGAAGGTAAAAAAGTGAAGGCTTTCTCCTGCTTCCTCTCCTCTGCTCGTCTCTGCCACGATTTAAAATTAAAGTTTTAAAAACAGACCGAGTCCATTATTTCCTTTGTAAAGAGCTACAAAATTACCCCTGAGTTTTTTGGTTCTAGTCCCCCATTCCAAGTTCTCTAGAGCTGTGTACTAGTAGCAGTTTGGTGTGTATCTTTCCAGACCTCATGCACATTTGAGATTTATGCACACACACACAGAGTTGTGTTTTTTTAAAAATAGTTTCCTGTTACAGATGTACATCCATATTTTGCTTTTTCCGTTAATATTTTCTGGGCATCTTTCCATGTCATTGCAAAGCAGTCTGCCCCATTCTTTTTGATGGCTGCATTGTATTCCACTGAATGAGTAATTAAAGCAGGGCCCTCTTGATGGACATTCAGAACATTTTTGCTGTTACAAAGCATGTGGCAGTGCACATCTTTGTCCAGCCCCTGTGTACAGTACTGCAAATATTTCTAGATTCTTAGGGGATTACTCAATCAGTTACCTCTGGCCCTTTAGGTAATTGAAACCTCCTCAACCATACTTTTCTACAAGAGAACTTTGTTCTCAGCCTATCAGACATATAAGCAGGTTGCTGACATCACTGAAAAAGGGCACGCTTTACTGTGGGTGACCCAGCTATAAGAAAAACAAATGTACCTAAGGCGACATCAGTAGAAACATAATATGTAAAAGGGCGGAGGTGAAAGTTTCTGTTTGGTCAGGCAAACCACACCTGGAGTGCTGTGTTCAGTTTCAGGACCAGCTTCAGATAGGGTAGAGGTGGAGGGTTAAGGGGGGTGGTTGGGGAGGGGTGCGGAAGCCAATCCCTGTGAGGAGCAGTGGAGGGAACCAGGGCGGATTAGCTTCAGCAGAACGCTGCAAGGTCCAGTTCTCTTCAGGGCTGAAATGAAGAAGAGGGGCATCTTGTTCTTTATTTCAGGAGACCTCAGGGGCAGAGCAAGGGCCAGTGGAAGCAGAACTGGGAGTAGCCTGAGTACAGCCAGTGCTGGCTGCCTGGGAGGGCTCTTTGGGGAAGTCTGGACACTAAAGGTGATCAACCACAGTGCTTTGGCTCCCCTGGGGACTGGATAAGCAAGGACCGAATTTTTCCTGAGCTTCCTTCCAGTCTGAGAGTCTAAGCCCTGGTGACTCTAGGTGATCAAGGGCAGACTGGGACCTGATTGCATACAAAGTTAGAGACATGTCAAGACAGGGGCTGGGAACTTGGGGGCACATTCCAGAAAGCCAACAGCAGGACTGGTTTCCTCCACCTGAATCTCAGCTCACTGCCTCTCAGGCATTGCAGTCCAGTGCAAAGGGCACCACTGCTGGAGTCTGACAGGTCAAGGCTGAAGTCCTTGTTCTGCCACTAACCAACTATGTGCCCCGAGGCAAGTGGCTTAACCTCTCTGAGTCTGCTTCTGTGGCGAGAGGAAAATGAGGCATTGTGCATCATGACACAGCCCAGGTCGTGGCATATGATAGCACTTAACCACGTCAGGCCGTCCCCCGGCTTTAGTTAGATGCTCTTGGTCTTCTTTTTCAGTGGTTCCAGCTGGCTGATGGCCCTGGTCCACCCTCCTGTCCCCAGGCTGGTACTGTGGAGCTCGGGTCTTGGTGGCTGAGTGGAGACAGTGGGGCCTCCTCCGAGGGTGAGTCAGAGTAGAGGAGCAGAGGGAGGACACAGGGGAGACGGTTGTCGTGTTTGAGGGACACAGTCCTCAGGCTTGGCTGGAGCAAGGAGGAGAGGACACCCAGTGAAGGGCTGCAGATACCATCCAGGAGTTTCTGAGTGCTTTGGGGGAGGAGACAGCACCCCTCATAACGCTTGTGGGAGGACTGATGGGTCAGGGAGATCCACTTGGACTTTAGGAGGTTTTGGAGCTGGGGAGAGTAGCCTTCTCAAGATCAGAAGGTTGTAGAAAGGGGTGATAATAAATTGCAAGTTCTGGAATGTTAGAACTAGAAGGGGCTTAAAAGATTATCTAGTCTCCCTACTATATTATATTATTGCTATTGTTGCAAACCCCTCCCTTTAGGAAACGGAGGCCCAGTGAGGGGAAGGTGTTTGCCCTGGTGTACCTGGGCTAGATCCCACGATTTCTGAGCCCCAGTGCTTCATATTTCCACCTGACACCTGCAACCTCTTTATTATTGAATTGGTTGCAGAGACTTATTAAGTCCTTGGCTCCTCAATGGCGAGGTTGCTACGGTGGACTCCCTGAGAACACACTGTCCAAAGTAGGTGCTGTGTCTTTGCTGATAGTCATCAAGAGGGCACAGCTTGCTCTTTGATGGATGGACCTAGGGCCACAGTTGCCCTCACCGTGAAATGCGTGGGGACAGATTTTTGCTTTAGTTTGCAAGGTCCTTTCGTGATGCCTCACTTCCTCTCATCCCTGGGGGGAGGGAGGAATTGCAGGATATTACCAATTATGACTGAGGAAAATGAGGCTCAGGTGATTCCCAGTCTTGCATGAGTTTGGTACAGTGGTCTATGGGCTTCTTGTAACTACATATTCACTGGCTACAGTGTTGTACCAGTGTTCTTGCTTAAAGGTTATTTCCACTTACCAGAAATTAAGTAGATACCATGACCTAGCTTATTGAGCCAATGGAGGAACCTAAAACTCGTTAAAAGAAGGAGTATATGGAGCAGGAAGATTGGGAGACTTGGCCCTTACATCAGCTGAGTACAGTTATGGGACTGCCTCAGCCTTTTACTAAGGACCTGCTATGTACCAGGTACTTAGCTGGGTATTATACACACTTTATTATTATTTTGGAAATTTTATGATAAAATGAATGTGTTCCTTGTTAGATAAATTAAATGATCAGGAAGTGTAAAGTGAGAACTCTCTTCCAACTGTACACATATTGTTTTATTTAATTGTTTTAATCTGGTACAGGTAGATTCTATTATTCCTATTTTGCAGATGAGGCAACTGAGGCCCAGAAAAGGTGAGCGACTGATCCAGTATCACACAGCCTGCAGGGGTGGACAGAGCTGGGACTAGAGTGAGGCAAGCACAGGTGAGGCCCCAGGTGCGACACGTGAGGAGGGCTCTTGCTCCGGGTTGTGTGCTTGCACTTGAGCACCCCCTTCCATGTTGCACCCCGCGTGCCTTACCTGCTCCATGCTAAGATCCTGCCCTGTTTGAACCCTTTTTCCTAACTCTCCAGTGTGCTAGGTCCCCTCTCTTTCCTAGACTTGCTGGTAGCTTTCACAGCTTGGGTCCCTGTCGCTCCTTAGGGCAGTGCTAAGACATCCCCTAGTGTCACTCTAGTGCAGGCTCCTCCCCGTGCACATGAGGGACCCAAGGTGCAGGAGTGGATGGGCTCGCCCATGGCCATGAGAGCAGCAGCAAAGTAGATGCCAGGATCCTTTGACTTTCTGTCCTCTGCGTCCCTTCCTGGAGACCCCTTCCCTTTACCCCTCTGTCACCCCCACCCACCAGTGTCCCTGGCAGTCCTTGCCTCTGCCTGGGGAAATAATCATTGGCCACCGTGACCTCCCAACTCGCAATACCAGAAATCTACTCAGACTTTTCCCTTTGGAGCAGGGAGAACGTAACTTCCAGCAGGGTCACAGGGTATAGGTTGTCCCAGGATGCAGCCCAGGCCCAGCAGCATTGATTGAGCTGATTAAGTTCCCAAGTGGGCCTCCCTATCTGTCAAGCAGATATCAGTTGTGCCTTTCTCTCAAGGCTGTTGTAACAATCACATGGACAAACAGTGCTTGGGAAACTACTAGGTATTTTGCAAATGTTGCTGGCTATGCAGATTCATATCATTTGGGGGGCCAGGGAGCCCCCCCTCCTAGAGTCAGCACATGACTAATCACAAGAGAGCCTCAGATAGGCTGAAGCATTTTAGTGCAGAAGCTGGAATGTAAGTCTAATTCCAGATCTTGCCTTTTTCAACCCTTTTCTTCTTGAGTGGAGGCTTTGATCTGGGCCCACGCTCCCACCCCCTCACACTCCCTTTAGCTGCTGCCTGTCACCCCGTCACACTGCCACCACCTCCTCCTCCTGTTTTGGGCTGGTGGCTTCTTCAGTTTCAACAGCATCACTTCAATCTTGATACTCTGTGGTTGCCGCCTGGCCTGTCTGTCTGGGCCCCTTTTTGCTCCCAAACTGGGCCTTTTTGGTTCCAGTGGGCACCCCTAGGCCCCTTGGGGCGGGCTGTGGGAACTCCCCCCCCCCGCCACCCCCACCCCAGCTGAGGTCTTGTTTTGGAAGAAGGTCTGCGCTGACTGTTTCTGTTTGGGGAGGCAGGTTGGTGTCCCACTGCTGGAGGGTCCCCTGCTGATCTGTAGCTGCTGAAACCAGGCCCAGGATATGGAGTCCAGGCCAGACCCTGAAAGAACATGGAGTGGGGCCTCTGCTTTGCAGTGGGATCCCAGTGCAGGAACAGGAACAGAGGGCAGGGGTAGCGGGCAGGTGGAGGGAGCAGGGACCTGGTTCCAGCTCCACTCTACTCTGACTTTGATGACGTTGGTCTTCATGCTCTGGCTGTGGCAGACAGCCCTCACGCCATGAGGTGTGGTCAGCTGGGCTTGTGCCCCAGGACCCCAGTGTGAGGGACAGGGTCTGTGACAGAGGGGAACAAGCTATCGGTCTTGGGGGCAGGAGAGTGATTCATCCCCTCATTCAGAGAGTTCCTGGATGCCTGGGAATGGGGCTTGGCCGGGTTCCCTTGGGGATCCCCATCCAGCTCTGTCATCCTGGGAAGGATTCCTCTCTCCAGGAAAAGTTACAAAAACCACACTGACTAGGAGGAGAGTTCCTGCCTGCCTAGTAGTCATCCTGTAACTGCCGCCGACCATCTGGCCGTGAGGTCAGCGGGATGTGGAAAGTCCCCATTTCTCTCTTTGTCTTTACTCCAGAAGTCCAGGCCCTCCCTTGGGTGGCTCCTCTGATCTCCAGAGAGGTTTTTCTCAAAAGTCGGCTGTTTTGTCTTTGTTCCCACTGCCTGGCAGCCTGTTCTCTCCCCTGGCCCCCAAGCTCTGCCTGCCGA